AACACTTAACTGAAGTCAAGATACATAGGGGATACTGCATTTCCCTAATTGCAACCCCTCTCAGACACAGGCATTTAGGAAGCATACTCTGATTAATGAACCAATGCATAAATTATGATATAGGATAACACTAGACCTATTATCAGTCCTTGGGGAACACCACATAAAACAACGTACCATTTTTGACAGCAAACTCTTACAGTTCGCCTTTCAGTGAAATCATGCAGCTTACACTTGCTCTACTACCTTCCATAGGTTAAGCATGAGACGTGGAGCACGGAGCTGGGACCCTCTACAGCTTCTTCTGTACTGTGGGCAGGTCAGCGCAAAGACACCTAAGTGACTAGGGATGGAACCTGTTGTGTTCACCTACTGGATTTATTAGGAACTGAGAAGGTGGCATTCGTCTTCAGATGAAAGGGGTAAATTTAAGCCAGTGAATTGGAGGAATGCAAATTTTTTTTTAACGAGGATTGGTTACAACAATAAATTAAGAATCATTGATCTTGTAGCCTGTCATTTCCTAGCTTTCTTAGGGGAATGTCAGGTAGGCCAGTGTCAACAATCTTACTGAAGTCCGAACACCTGATACTTTCTGTTTCTGTTGTAAACTCCAGCCAGCGACTCCAATAAGAAATTATCACTTAAGTGTACACTGCCTACTAGTAACTTGTTTCTAGTATTCCTTTGAGAATCCAAGTCAGGTTGCTTGGCCTATAACAAGCTGCTTCCTCTTAGTTCCCTTTTCTGAAAGCAAGGACTGCGCCCTACTTCATCACCATCACCCTCAATTGCTCAAAACCCCAAAAGAAAGTTCACTGCCCCCTTCCTCCAGACAGGGAGATAATGCTGCATAAGAGATTCACAGCAGAGTTTCTGATACTGGATTCATCTGGAGAAATCAAAACAGGCCATCAGAGCATTTTGAAACATAGTCCATTCAAATAAAAAGGCAGCACGACGTCCTGGCTCGGAAGCCCTGGCACCTATTCCTGATTGTGGTATCAAATTGCTAAGGTGTATCTCAAACTGTCAGATGATCAAGAATAAGTCATTTCAGATTTGTATGCCTCAGTTTCCTTCCCTGTAGAATATGCACAATGATTCTGATGTAAAGCTGTCAGACCTATTGATGAAAGACCATGATGTAAGAGGTACAATCAGTACCAGCTATTTATACCGTGATGCAGTAGGATTTCAATTTTGGGAATATAGAACCCGAAGACAAGACGTAAAATGCCTTAAAAATCAGCATTGATTATTGCTTTTACATATTCACAGGCTAAGGAATGTGCTACACCACGTTAACTAAATCTCTTTTTCAGGAAGTTATAAACTCAAGAATGCAGTTTAAAGCATCTAATTGTTTAGTATTATTTGCTCAGGAAAAGGCAAATAACAATGCAATTACCAAAGCAGCATTCCTCAATTTAGATTTACAAACAAACATTGATTTACTTCATAAAATCTCTATGAAGAGCTACAGAGGTTCAGATTGCCTTAAAGAAATAGCCCATTCTAGCAAGTCCATAATTCACAGTTTATCCCTACTATGGGGAGTTCTGGAGATGTTTATGGTTGCACTAAATCCTTAACAAGTATATACCATACAAAGCAATAAAAATGAATTTGGAATACCCAGATTTGACATCAATATCAAAATCATAAAAAAGCTATTTTGCAAAAGAGTAAAATCTTTGTCCTTCAGTAGCCAGATACAAGACGTTTAAAGAAAATCAAGGAGTCACAGCGACAGCTTGAAGAGAAAATTAAAACTCTATAAGGAAGGCTCTTCATCCAACATTCAGGGTACTTTTGTATACATCTGTTCTTTCAGTTCATGGTTGTATTTGGATGCTGAAAGATAGAGTAATAATATAAACGCTAGAAAGTACTCGTGAGTAAACAGAGACTGAAAATTTTCAATTATAATTTTAGCGATTTCCATTTCTGTTTCTGCCTTACCAGTATCGGGCAAGATGAAAGACACATAAAATGTAGTATTTTAAAAAACATCTACAAAATTTTCTAAGTATCTGAGAAAATTTGTAAATATCTAGAGAGGAATCTCATAATACAAAAATCAGTCTTCCATGATGTAAGGAAGAGAAGCCAAGGAATGAAAGAGGAGGAAAATTTACAGCTCTCGGAGAAATCACAGCAAGACAGCACTTAAATCCAAGTGCTAGTGTCCTTGCCTCCTTCTCTCTCAAGTGGCTTATTGATTTAAAATATGAACTAAATGAAACAGAGTCAAAGGAACCAATCATAATGTTTCAGATGAGTCAGGGAAAATAACAGCTTCATCAAAAGCTACGCCAATGCCAAATTCACCAAAACATCTATGGTAGATGAGCACTGAACACATTTTAAAGGCAAGTACAAAAAAAGCAGAAATAAAAACCATCAGAATATTTCCAATTTTGGTAACAATACCAGTATCAAAATACTGAACTATACACACACACACAAAACTGAAAGAGCAACAGTAACACTGATCCATGCTGAAAAGCTATGAGAATTTGAAAAATTTAAATGAAACAGTATTAAGAATCCAGTACACTTTCAAATACTTGCTTTTAGTAAGAAGACAAGAATAAAACCTTAGCTTCCAAAAGCTGCACCAAAGAAGGTTCCCAGCTTTCCAACCTCCAAACCCTCCAGCTTGCTATGAGACTTTGTCTGTCACCACAGTTGCTTACTAATGCAGTTCCACCAGCACACCAAATATCTCTTCCCTTAATAGAGTCGCTTAAAAGTATTATTTTAAGAGGCTGTGTATTTTTAACCTGAAATCTAGAAGGGGAAGATAAATAATGATTATATACTCCAATTCACAATTCTCTGGGAAAAAGGTTACCATATCATCCACAGAAGAATCAAAATTCTTTGCACATTCCAAGTCATTACGATCTTTGGCCAGGGAAAGAATAAAGGCAAAGATATCCACTTCCAGCCTCTTAAATCTGTTTCATGACTTTGTTTTTTTCTCCCCCAAATCATTCTACTGTCCTTAATTTCCTGTCCTGCCCTCAGTTTACGATTTGGAGAAAGACCTCTTCAGACACATGGACTGTATCACACTGCTCTTAAAAGTTCCGTGTGGTGCACAGCAAAGGCTAACCCTTCATACAAGACGTAGCAGTTCCTACGGCAGTTGGGGATGGGAAATGATATTGCGGGAGCGTGGGAGTGGAATGCCCAGCTCAGAAGAGAGAACTGAAAAACATGCAGTGCAATTTAGAAAAGAAAATTTTAGAGGAGGAGACAGAATCAGAGTTGCAAAGTAGAAAAGCAAAAGCAAAGCAGATTCAGCACAGAAAAGGGACTGCTGAAGAGTGGGTATATACTGCACAAAGAGAGAAAATCCATTTGGTCACGCAGATGGTGGGTACCTTCACCATTTATCATTGCATGCCAAGGTGCTCAAATATTGCTTACAAGACATTTGTAAGTGCCCAAAGAATTCATCCATCCTCTTTCCAGGAGGTCCTGAACCCCTTCTCTGAGATGTAATGGGCAGGTTCATTATCACAATAAAGCTGAGGAATCCCAAGAACACCAGACTACCTGCACACGCATAGGGTACCGTACCTCACGTGCATGGGAGATTTGGTAATATGACAAAGAAGCAGTTGCAAAAGATAAGTTGCTCCCAGTCAGAAGAGGTGATGACTGCCATGCATCAGCAAAGTTTGGGTGTGGTGGGGTTTTGTTGTTGTTGGGGTTTTTATCTGGGTTTTTGTTTGTTTGTTTGTTTTCAAATAACTAAAGCAGAGAGAGAAAACCTTTTAAGTTTATATAAGGATGACATGAATTGGAAAGCCTGAACTATGTACATTTAGGAATAGTCTTGGTCTCAAGGATATTACAAATATACTTGCATTATAAAAATCATGAAGATTTAAGAAAAAAAAACTTTAAAAATTGCTTAAGGTGTGTGCTATCCAATTCCCATTACAGTCCAAGAAAAATAGGCATCCAATTCACCTAAAAAAACTTTGAAAATCTCTTCCTTATGTTGCACCTAAGTTTCAGTAATAACAAAGATAGCAATTTGTTGGCAGGAAAGCTCTGTACAGTCATGTTTTAATTCTTTCTTGTAGATTATCATCATTTACAGTGAAAGGTCTCTGTGGCTCAATGACAGTGATTGGATATATACTTTTCATTAGAGCTGGACAAAGATGAATAGTTACAAAAAAATGTACATTCTGTTGTGAATAGAAGCGTCAAGTTTTAGTTTGCTACAATTCATGGAGTCATATCAGTATGAGTGTTCAGAAAAATATTCAGAGATAAAGACTTTTTACACTTAAGTATTACTTAAACATTGTCACATGGAAAAAATCTCTGTATATATGTATATGTGCATCCACCGTAGTGAAATCACTACAGCAACGAAAAAAAAAGCAAAAAACATCCAACAGTAATGTTTGGATATGCATCGTTTGTTCATGTTTCAGTTATTTTATCATGACCTAAAATACTAAATATTTGGGCAAATATTTTGTAAACCCATCTCATGATAAATCACTTCCAAATGAATTTGGTAACAATTGAAAGGAACCAGAAGAGGCTCACAAAGAGTAAGTGAAAAAAAGGAAAGGCGCTTGCAGCCAAAATAAATACAAGACACTTTCAGCCAAATGCCCAGGACAGGCTCAAGGAGTAGATGGAACTAAAACTACTCTGGTCTAAATATTTCCTTTCCTCTTACCTGTACAGGGAAGGATCAAGGCATGTAGGCAGCTACTGCTCAAAGGGATGACCAGTGGGAGGAGAGAGACTACTACTGGTTTTGGGTACAGTGCCTCACTCCTTGCCTTAAGAGTCCTGGCCTTGATCCACTGCCCAGTAGGCCAAGAGGCATAAGAACATGTGATGTGGCTGTTTTGGAAGAAAGAAGGAGCAACAAGGATAGAGAACTCCATAGAGATGGAGGAATAGTCCGTGCCTTTAAAAAATAAGGTGATGGTCAAAGCAAGCAAAGACAGTGGATGCTAGAAGAACCATCCTATAAAATTTCTGCTAAGACTGCGATGAAAATACAGCCATTAATGGACATTCTGACTACATAAAACTCTATCCCTTCAGAAATGGTTTAATAGGAATTCGGTAAAAGGCACATTCATTAACTTCCAATGGTAAGGTGAGAAAAGGTCTAGGATCTGATGTGACAGTAGTACTTTGAACTACAGTAAGAAGGTCTAAAGGACACCTATTACATTGACAAATCTCAAAATATTTCCGTATGTCGCAGAATATCTACTTCATACAGCCTTTAATCCATAAACTGAACAGTGGCTACTGCAGCTACGAGTAGCTATCACGCAAGTATTTCAAATTGTTCTCTGTTAACGAAAGAACTCACTGAGTCTGATCATCAATCCTCCACTGCAAAGCTGCTACTAATGAATTCGAAAGAACAGATTAAAGCTGCATACATGAAAGAGAACTACTGAAAACAGAGAGATCTGGGGAAAGACAGCTCAACAGAAAATGTGTTCAAAATATCAAGAAATCCAAGCCAAATGCCATTTATCCATCTAAACATTACTGAGCTCACATCAGATTTCAGGTAACTAGAAACTCCATGTGTCAAGCAGTAAGTTATCACAAAAAGAGGTTAAGTCTCTAACGGCAGAACAAAAAATAATTAATATGTCCTGGTGGACTACAACTTGTTTGACTACCATAAATTAAATTGCTATCGTTACTCCTCACACCAAGTATAAAGTGCTTCCTGCATGCATCCTTCATTGGATTCTTTAATGGCAAAGTGGAAGGAAATAACTTGATATTGTCTTTTGATCATCCCACACTGCTAATGGCAGCTTACGATCAGGTACTTTCTCCAACATTTTCTGATTTGAAAGACTGGTTGCCATTAGCCAGGCAACAATATTCTTTCAAGCGTAACTCCTCTATTTCACATAATGCTTGGCATTAACAAAACAGAAACTATACAGTCTCAACCATTGTTATGCAGTTACTATACGAGAGCATCACCACTTTAACAAGAAAGTGCACACTAAAAATTCCCTAGTGTTTCCTTTAAACCTAATGTTAGGGAATAATATATTACAAATTTCACCTACTTAAAGAAAAAAATGGGTCTGTAGGGTAAGACAGAGCAGTAGACTAGTGGCTTTCAAAATAACAGTGTGGTTAAAAACACTGACTACATCCAAAAGAGAAAAAAGTGACTGGTCTCACAGTCATGTATCCTGCCCACTGCTGTTACAAATGTGCTAAGATTATTTTCGGTAACAGAGCGCCAGAAATGCTGCCAGACTGGATTGCCCCATCAGACCATAGTTTTTGGATTATATATCAGTATGTTATGGTTTCACACCCAGATTTTCCAATTGGCATGCTATCACTGGGGAGAAGCTCGTTTATTTTAATTGACACAAACATTAATGTGTTTATACAGCGGTTTCACAGCTAACTCTTAAAGCTACTGCCTGAATTGTCCATTTCAAGCTGTAACATCCATTCTGTGAAATGAAACAGATCTTCAATCTGATCAATGAACAATTCATGTTTTTTGGAAAATACAGTAAAGCCATGAGGAAAGAGAAAATAAAAATATAGAGTGTGTAATCTAAAAAGCAGCAGTGATTTTTGCTTTTTATGTACCTAGTTTTCTTTTAAAATCTTCCATGTAACATTAAAATCCTAACTATGTTTTTTTCTTAATTTACTGTACTTGTGCAAATACAGCCCTATCCAACCTAAACACATGTAGTACTTATCACACAGCTCCTTAAATGATATGTTATTTCCTCAACTGGCAAAGGCAACAGAGATTTCCTCTCAATGGCAGCAACAAGTAGAAAAAGAGAAGCAAACTGACATATCTATCCTCCAAACAACAGTCCTCTTTCCCCTCTTTTTCCTCAGTTGTTCAAGTTTCACTGTAGTTTGAAACAACAAAATGAAGCCTAACCGCCTAAGTACCATGGCATGGACTGCTTGCAGAAATGGTACACAATGAGTATCCATCATATTTTTCCATTCATCACTCTCCATTTATCTGTCTTCAAAGCATATTCCGGACAAATATCAAGGTTCGATGGGTACTATTGTTATCCCAAGGCAAGATGTAACACTCAGCTTCTGGTTTTGAGGAAACAAAGCATTTACGCCTTGTTTTGCACAGAAAAGTTAAGTCATATTAGAAAATGACCTTGTCTTAATTGCTACTATTTCTTAACGTTAGTAGTCATGGTAGCAAAGGACAAGTAATGTTTAATACTGTCCCAACAGGTCACGGCTAACCTGGCAACACCAGTAGAGATGTTCCTCTAGTACGTCGAAGTCTACTGAAAGTATTTAATGTCAGTTAAGTCAGATTTAGAGGACATGAAGTAAATGACAGGATGCAGCATCTTCCTCACTGTAGCATAAAGAGGTAAGGTACTTGTTTCTCTTTCTCCAGGCACACACAAAACTCATCGTCTCTTGGGGACTCACAGATTTTTTTAGTGGATATTCACAATTTTTCAGAGGGACCATTTTGTTTTGCTTCAAGAGCAAAACTGATTTTAGGTGAAACTCTTTTTGAGTTAGGAGAAACTATCAAATCTCATGAAGGACATAAGTAATAAAAGACAAAATCCTCGTAGTTTTGCTGGTACCCAAGAAAAGCGGCTCCAGCAGAGGCATGAGAAAAAGGTAGCTTCTCCGGAGTAATTTTCTAGGATTATTCTTAAGAGGAAGTATTGCAACAGATATCTGCCAGAATTACATACCACTTTTACTCCGCCAAATGCCAGAGATGAGAAGACAGCTGATAATAATGCCCCTTGTCTTCTCCAGCAGGAGGCCTTAAAATCCTCCTCTGCGAATCTGTATTTTTAAGAGAGCAAACTTTGGCAGATCTTGCCAAAGAGCAACCCAAAAGAGCCTCCCCAAAACAAAGAAAGATTAGTTTAACTTGGTCAGTCCTCCACTGTAAATTACCATGAAGCTTTACAGGCAATTCCACTGACATCTGAGGGTGCAGGAATGAGAAGTGGGGAGGGATGGGGACTGCTTATGCCAAGCTGTCACTGAACAAGAGTCTACGAAATCTCAGCTCTATTCTCCCATAAGCCATTTCAAGAAGGGACGCAGGCGCTGTGAAGGACATATCCAGCTGCAAGTGTTTATTCAGGGGCCTGCAGTACCTTCAGAAAATAAGATATAGGTGCTTCTGAAAATGGTTATCCCTTACTTCAAATATTTAAAATTTACAGAAAAGATTTTTCTAGCAAAGAGTAAACTTAACAACAAAATAAAACTCAGATTTTATGTAAATATTAAAGACAAAATGAAATACATACAGAATAGGATCCAAGCACAAACTCACATTTTTGTCATAAATGTTTCCAGAACATGGTTGTCATCTGTTATTCCTAAGACTTCTGACATTCGGGCATACACCTGGAAATAAACATTTCAACAGTAACATTATAGACATTGACAGGAACCAACATTTTCAGTTATTCTAAAACCCTCCCTATTTTGATTTTGCACGAGAAAAGTACAGGCGCAAATGCCTGCCCATGCAACCTAGCTGAAACATTTGTAAGAGATGGCTTATACACTCTCCGATACCGTTCTGTGAATTTGGGACTGATAGGTTTTTACTTGGCCTTGCATGTATTTCTTCCCACAAAGGAGATGTAAAGTTTCCACGTTAAACTCACTTTGTTGTTCACAGAACAATACAGCCTCTATTCAAAAAACCTGGTTTATTATAAAAAATTGCAAAGGGATGGAGAAAATGCTCTTCTGTTGGTCTCTCTCCTCAGTGGGATGTGATTCACCACTGTCCTTTAGTTTGCATTTGCAAGTCCTTGCACTGACAGTCATAAAACCTGGTAAATTTAGGTACTCCTCAGACATTCAGGTTTGTGTTCTTGAAGGGAGAACAAAGGCTTTGGCAGCCAAGTAACTTGCAGTTGTATACTTTTCCCCTTCATTTCAGATCCAAGACATACGTTACCAGCCGAGTTTTCCCAGCACCCTAGTTATCGGATCAAACTGCTGGTATGATGCAGTAACAAACACACAGAGGACACATCGAGTACATTTTTTTTTCCTTACTATGTAATCTTCATAAAATTTTCTGGTAGTTTTAGCAGCCTAACATTTAGTTTGGATAAAAACATTTAGTTGGGTTCAATCAACTTCAGAAACAGAAGGGAGACGTGCGCTGCATAATTTCCTTACAATCCTTTGCCAACTCGCTTTACCTTGAGCCCAGGTAACTCTGCTATTTGCTTACAACGGGGCTAAACGCAGATCTTCCAGTCAGTACATTTCATTTCAGTCATTTTAACCTCTAGCGTCACTGAAACAAACATTCCGGGTTGTACGTAACTCTTCCATACGACGTGACGAAGTGAGGTATCACTAAGGTCCGCAAGGCG